TGTGCTTATTTGCCATTTGTATGTCTTCTTTGTTGAAGTACCTTTTTAAATCTTTTATCTATCTTTAATTGAGTTGCTTATTTTCCTATTAATGAATTTTGAGAGTTCTGTGTGTTGTTATATAGGTTTTTCTTCCAACCTGTGGATTATCTTTTTATTCTCTACAGGGTATGTTTTGAAAAACAAAACTTTAATTTGCATGAAGTCCAATTTATCCATATTTTAAAATCAGGGTGTTAAAAATATGGGTCTAGGTAGTATAGCTAAGAAATTTTTGCTTACTCCAAGGTAACAGTTTTTTATGCTTTCTTCTACAAGTTTTATAGTTTTAGGTTTTACATAGAGGTTAATGATACATTTTGGGTTAATTTTTGCCTATAGTGTAAGGTTTCAATTCATTTCTTGGCATATGTATAATCCAATTTTTCCAGCTCCATTTGTTTAAAAAAAAAAGAAGCTTTTTTTCTTTCTTTCCTCTCTTGCATTGCCATTCTGCCCTTGTCAAAAGTCAGTTGTCCATATATGTGTGGTTTATTTCTGGACTCAATTCTGTTCCAGTGATCTGTTTGTCTGTCTTGATGCCAGTACCATACTGTTTCGATTATTGTGGCTTTATAATAATTCATGAAATCAAATAGTCAAATAGTATTAGCCCTCAGACTTTTTCTTTTTCAGGGCTGGTTTTTTTTTTTAATATATTTTATTGATTTTTTACAGAGAGGAAGGGAGAGAGATAGAGAGTTAGAAACATCGATGAGAGAGAAACATCGATCAGCTGCCTCCTGCACATCTCCCACTGAGGATGTGCCCGCAACCCAGGTACATGCCCTTGACCGGAATTGAACCTGGGACCCTCCAGTCTGCAGGCCGACGCTCCATCCACTGAGCCAAACCGGCTTCGGCTTTCAGGGCTGTTTTGACTATTGTAGTTCCTTTGCATTTCCATATGCATTTTATTTTTCAATTTCTTTTTTAATCCTCACCTGAAGATATTTTTTTTCCATTGGTTTTTAGAGGTAGGTAGTAGGAGGGAGGGAGGGAGAGAGAGACACATCGATTGGTTGCCTCCTGCATGTCCCCCAACTGGAGCTGGGATTGAACCTGCAACCCAGGTATGTGCCCAAGTATGGGAATCGAACCTGAGACCCTTCTGTGCAAGGGCTGATGTTCTAACCACTGAGCACACTGACCAGGGCTCCATATACATTTTAGAGTCAGCCTGTCAATTTCCACAAAAAAGCCTGCTGGGATTTTCATTGGGATTGCTTTCTTTTTAAATAAATGTTTTTATTTTGTTGTTGATTTTAGAGAGGGGGAAGGGAGGAGAGAGAGAGAAACTTCATTCCTCAGTCGGTATGTGATTTTGCTAGAATACTTCTTTTCTATAAAGCTAGGGATAGCTAAAAGCCACTATGAAGCTGAAAGTGGGTCATTGGATCAGTCACTATGTCTACTTGTATGAGATTAGAAGTCCAGACTTTCTTGCAAATGGAGGTCTCCCTGTGAGATTCTAACTCGTTCCCAGCCAGGCAGCACTGCCTAATCTATGATGCATTGCTATTGCTTATAGGTGTGATTCATAATTTCCCCCATCTTTTAATTTTAGAAATTTTCAAACCTACAGAACTACTAAAAAAATAGTTCAGTAAAGATTGTTTGTACTTAGATTCACCAGCTCTTAGTGTTTTGCCACGTTTGCTTTTTCTCTGTCTGTACACACACACACACACACACACACACACACACACTTTGTTGTGACTGCTGCTGTTGAACCATCTGAAAATAAGAAATTAAGTTATAGAAATCGTTGTCCTTCATCCCTATGAATTACCATAGAGTATGTCTCTTGAAAAGAAGGATTTCGTACGGAATTACAATCCTATTATCATCTTCAAGAAATTTATCTGCCCGGCTGGCATGGCTCAGTGGTTGAGCATCAACCTATATGAACCAGGAAGTCATGGTTCAGTTCCCAGTCAGGGCACATGCACGGGTTACAGGCTTGATCCCCTGTGTTGGATGTGCAAGAAGCAGCCGATCAATAATTCTCATCATTGATGCTTCTAGTTCTCTCTCCTTTTCCTCTAAAATCAATAAAAATGTATTTTAAAAAATATATCAGTGATCTTATTTAATACTAGAGGCCCGGCACACAAAATTTGTGCACTGGACGGGGGCTGTCCTTCAGCCCAGCCTGTGCCCTCTCGCAGTCTGGGACCCCTTGGGGGATACCACCTGCTGGCTTAGGCCTGCTCCCTGGGTCTAAGCTGGCAGTCAGATATCCATCTGGCAGCCCAGCAGCCCTCAGGGGATGTCCACTTGCCAGCGGGGAGCAGGCCTAAGCTGCAGTCGGACATCCTTAGCGCCGCTAAGGAGGTGGGAGAGGCTCCTGCCACCACTACTGTACTGGCAGCCATCAGCCTGGCTTGTGGCTGAGCAGAGATCCCCCTGTGGGAGCACACTGGCCACCAGGGGGTAGCTCCTGGTGGTCAGTATGTGTCATAGTGACCAGTCATTCCCAGTCGTTCTGCTGTTAGGGTCAGTTTGCGTATTACCCTTTTATTATGTAGGATAGAGGCCTGGTGCATGGGTGGGGACCAGCTGGTTTGCCCTGAAGGGTGTCCCGGATCAGGGTGGGGGTCCTCTGGGGTGCCTGGCCAGCCTGGGTGAGGGGCTGATGGCTGTTTTCAGGCTGGCTAAGCCCCCCAGCAGGGACCCTCACCCCATGGGGGTGTGGCCATCCTGGGTGAGGGGCTGAGGGCCATTTTTAGGTTGCCCACAGCCCCTTCAGGGTGGGGGATTCCCGCAGGGGAATATTCTTCAGCCTTAAAAAGGAATAAAGTACTCGGACATGCTACAACATGGATGAACCTCAAAAACTTGATGTCTAGCCTTGGCTGGAGTGGCGCAGTTGTTTGGAGTGTCAACCTGTGCACCGAAAGGTGGAGGGTTCAATTCCCAGTCAGGATACATAGTCAGGTCGTGGGTTCCATCCCCAGCTGGGGTTTGTGCAGAAGGCCCGTCAATCTCTCTCTCTTCCTCTCTCTCTTTGTTGTTGGTCTTGAAAATGAGGAAGAACATAGCCTCTGCCTCCCTCCCTCTCTTCCTCTAAGCAAGCATGTCAAACTCGTGGCCGCATGCCTCCAGCTGGCTGTGAGTTTCACATTCTTGCTCTAAAGTAAAAAAACTTGATGTCTTCAAAAGGTTACGTATTGGATCATACAGTTTATATAAAATGTCTGGAGACGGTAAATCTATAGGTACAGAATGCAGGTTGTTGGTTGTCGGGGTCAGGAAAATAAGGAGTGACTGCTTAATGGATACAGGGTTTGATTTTGGAATGATGTTATATGAATTTTACCTCAGTAAAAAGTAGCGGGAGGCAGGTTCCTCAACAGTGGGGAGAAAGTCAAGTCTATGGGAGTGTAAGAGATAGAGGCTGACCTGTGTTTTTCATCCAGGGTGTACCTAAGTCAAGGCAGCTGAAATGCGGGCCTTCAATGTAGCTTGGTTTGTGAATCTAGATAATTCTAGCAGGTATCAACATCAGCTTTGAGAGCTGTGTAATATATTGGAATACACTTCGTATCTTCCTTGTCTCTTTGACCTCCAATTTAGAAGAATCATATTACCTTGGATTGCTTGAAGAGATAAAAATAGAAAATGGAGGTGATCCCTTCACCTAGTTTTTGTAGGGTTTTCTGCTTTCGATCCAATTTAGGATCAAGGGATTTAAGAGTCTTTTTTTGATACGGTATGAAATACAAAAAAATGCATGCAATGTCTGGAGTGGGAGTTTAAATGAGAACAACTCCTTTAGATAGTAAGGTATTAAAGTGTCAGGCGACAAAGATGTTCTGCTTAATGCTCCAGTATTTGACTTACTATCCTATGGAAGTAAATCAAAAAGTGGGAGAGAAACATCATGGATTGGCTGCCTCCTGCACCACCCCTACTGGGGATTGAGCCCACGACCCAGGCATGTGCCCTGAATGGAAGTGAAGGGACAAAGTTCTTTTTAACAAAGCTGATAGAGCGTGGAAAGGAGTTTGGGGCACTGAAGTCAGCACTGGATTAGCGACTGCAGCACATAATAGCAGAGAGGAGGCAATGGCACTCCTTAAAGTAATAGTAACAGCTGGCATTGATTGGGCACTCACTACGCACCAAACCTTATGTCTTTATGCTCCCTCCCCTCTCGTTGATATATTTCTCTTTTTATAAACATTTTCCAGTGTAACATGTAGCACAGACATAAGAAGGAAATCTCTAGCTTAGCTTAATATATTACTTTAAGGCGTACATTCTTGTTACTACTACCCAAGCCCAGATTGGTCAGTTTTTGCATCATTAGGTGCATGAACAATTTGGATTTTGCTCTGTCATTGTGAAATGTTTCAAGTAGAGATAGAGGAGTTAAGATAGAAAGAGTCCCTCCTATGCTATTTCTATCTCTGGCAATAGAGTTCCTGAAAATGAAGTTTGTCACTAGAATGTGCCCCTGTGTGGGCACATGAGTAATGGCTGCTCGGTCAAGGTGAACACCTGTTGTATCCCTCTGCGTCCCTCCTGTCAGTGACGATCCTTCCTCCTTTTCTTCTCTCCCCCCACCCCCTTATCTCACGTCAGTGCGAACTTTGAATTTAGGCAGATCAACCACTTATATTCTATGTGGCTTGTGCAATTCACTGAACTTCTCTAAGCCCCAGCGTCTCTTATGGAAAGAACATTAAGAATACTATGGCTGCTTCATTGATACCATGGATATATGAGGATTAAACGGAAATATTTTGGCCAAATACACAATATAATACTTGGTGTATAGTAAACATCCAATAAATAATACTATGTCATCGCCATCTTGTTTTATTACCCACTTGAACTGAGGTTCAGTTTAATACCCTTTGAATGTATTACATCTCCCACCATGGGCCAGTGATTGGCCAAGAGTGAGCAGATGCTAACGGATCCTGATTCCTGAGGGCTTCCCTTTCTTACAGCGGAGGTGTGCATTGGAATCCTCTTGCTACTGATCTTATACAACTACTGGTTCCTGTACATCCCTTACTTGACATGGCTTTACTTTGACTGGCGTACTCCAGAGCAAGGAGGCAGGAGATCCAACTGGGTCAGAAGCTGGGCGGTTTGGAAGTACTTTAAGGACTACTTTCCAATTCATGTGAGTAGACTTGTTTTATATAGTACTAGAGGCCCAGTGCGCACGAAATTGTGTGCGAGTAGCTCGCTTCTGCTTGCCTCATCTGGCTGCCCTGCCCATCGCCGCTCGTAGCTCGCTGCCCCACCCTGCCGCTGTGAGGGCCGCTGCTCGTTTGGTCATGATGGCGTTATGGTGTGACGGCCATGGGCCTTTTATATAAGAGATGATTTTGAGCTTGAGGAGAATGAAAATTTTTTATTACTTATATTTCTTTTTTTAAAAATGTATTTTTATTCATTTCAGAGAGGAAGGGAGAGGGAGAGAAACATCAGTGGTGAGAGAGAACCATTGATTGGCTGCCTCTTGCACGCCCCGCTCTGGGGATTGAGCCCACAGCCCGGGCATGTGCCTTTGATCAGAATTGAACCCGGGGCCCTTCAGTCCGCAGGCTGATGCTCTATCCACTAAGCCAAACCAGGTAGGGCTATTACATGTATTTTAAGCTTTTCCTCTTTTAGAGGGAGAAAGCCTAGAAATCAGCCCAAATTACTAAACAGACTGTAAGCTAAGTTAAAACTTAGGCTGTTGTGAGGGGCTGTGGGCTCAGGAAATAGTTAAAAATATGGGGAGCAGTTTTAACCCAGGGAATGAAAACAAGTCATTCTCCATTTCCTTTTTAAATTTTTTATTTTTTTTTCATTTCTTTTTTTTTTTTTTAATCCTCAACCAAGGATATTTTATTCCATTAATTTTTTTTAGGGAGAGTGGAGGGGAGGGTGGAGGGGAGGGTGGAGGGGGAGAAAGAGAAAGAAACATCGATGTGAGATAGACACATCGATTGGTTGCATGGGCCCAGACTGGAGTCGGGGATCAAACCACAACCCAGGGACCTGCCCTTGATTGGGAATCAAACCCGGACCTTCAGTCCACAGGTGGATGCTCTAACCACAAGCAACCAGCCAGGGCTCATAGCCTCTTGATGTAACTGTTAGTCATTTAGTTTCTTCCTGGAAACTAATCAGGGAACTTTTTAAAAAAATCTCAATGTAAATGTGTTGTAGCTCATCAAAACTAGTGATTTGGATCCAAGTCACAACTACATATTTGGGTTTCACCCCCATGGAGTGCTCGTGGCTGGAGCCTTTGGAAATTTTTGTACCAATTATTCGGACTTCAAGAAGCTGTTCCCCGACTTTACTGCGTATCTCCATGTGCTTCCGATTTGGTTCCGGTGCCCTCTCTTCCGCGAATACCTGATGAGCAGTGGTAAGTAAAGGGAGATTGCCATTTCTGCAATGTTCTAGGGAGACAGGACCACACAGAATGCCCCCACCCCCACCCCCAACCCAGTTTTAGAGTCTTTATCCCAATCTGGCACTTTTTAGATATTTCTTGCCTCCCCCACTGCACTGTAAATGCCAGCACAACACAGACTATCCTTTTGTCTGTCCACCCACAGATCTAGCATACTGCCTGGAATATAGGGATGTTCAATCGATGTGAATTTAATGAAAGAGTAAATTGATGAGTCACTGTATGTACCCAGATGTGGTAGAGAGAATCAAATAAGTGATAAAAGGCAGGGTTGGAAAGGTGCCTGGTATACTTTTATGAATATTAGAGATGAAAAATGTCCTCTGATGTGTCTTGAAGTAATAGCAGTATTAAACTAAACATAATCTGCTATCTTTTCCTTCCCAGGTTCAATATAATGGGTCAGAAATAAGAGTTCATTCTACTTTGCGTCTCTGAGCTAGTGGAAGATTCTTTGATTAGTGAAGCTGTAATTCTACCAATTCTGAGAATAAATTAAGCTGAAATGCTATCAAGATACGATATAACTGTGTACAGTAGCTCTCACTTGTGTCAGTAGCTCTCGCTTCAACTTCAGAGGCTCATTTTGTTTGGTTTTCCAATTTGACCAAATTATTAACTAACCTTAAGCTATAGTAACTGAGAACGTGCTTTCTGTTTATGATCATTGTATAGGTTAATTATTATTGTCTTTGCATTTCTTGAATATAAAGGGAAGTGGATAGTCTCTCTTTCTTGAAAAATTGCAATTTCAGGATCAATAAGTGGCATATTCAGAGACAGAATTTTCCATGGTCTTCCAGGTTTTCATTAATTCCTATTAATCTATCAAGTCTCCGTTGTCATAATACTGGGTCAGAGTCACTAAGCACTGAAGAACCAGGATCAATGACTGGATTTTTAGGTTCTGTTTATGGACCTTCTCCCATATGGCCCTGGGCTTTCTGTCCAGTCTAGGCTGCCACTGCTGTGGCCTCTAGGGGGTGCACTAAAACCCCCAAACTACTGTAGAGGAAAAATATCCCTTCTTTTCAGAGTTGGGCAGACATTGGGTTAGAGGTGTTTTTTTTTTCTTTTTTATTGAATTTATTAGGGTGACATTAGTTAATAAAATTATATGTTTCAGGTGTACAATTCTATAATACATCTTCTGTATATTGTATTAAGTGTTTACCACCCAAGTCAAGTCTCCTTCCATCACCATTTATCCCCCCTTTACTTCCTTCTACCTCCCCCCATTCCCTTTCCCTCTGGTAATCACCATACTATTGTCTGTGTCTATGAGGGGTAACCCCCCCCCCATAATCCCTTCACCTTTTTCACCCGATCCACACCCCTTCTCTCCCGTCTCCTCCCCTTTGACAGTTGTCAGTCTGGTCTCTATCTATGGGTCTGTTTCTATTTTGTTTGTTAATTTCCATTTGGGATAGCATGGGTGGACCTGGAGAGCATTATGCTAAGTGAAATAAGCCAGTCAGAGAAAGAGAAGTACCATATGATTTTACTCACATGTGGAATCCAATGAACAAAATAAACTAACAAATTAGAGTTTCATAAAAAAAATTAAAGGGAAACTTTAAAAATTTCAAAAAAGCTCAGAAAGATATTTACAGTATATAGTTGCTGATTCAAAGTATAGCCATATGTGAGTTTGAATAGAGTAATTGAGAGCTGGTGTGGCAAATTCATGGCACAACAGATGCAGGTGCACCCTGTCCGTTGCATGTCAGATACAAATAATCAACCATAGAGTCTTTCTCCATGTGGTGCCCCCACAGCCACTGCCATTTACTGGAGAGACCTTTTCCTTTGCTATAACCTACAATATTCCAAAAACGAAATAAATGGTACATTTGCACAATGGAATACTACTCGGCTGTAAAAAAAGAAGGAAGTCTTACTTTTTGGGACAGCATGGATGGACCTGGAGAGCATTGTGCTAAGTGAAATAAGCCAGTCAGAGAAAGACAAGTACCATATGGTTTCACTTATGTGTGGAATCTAACGACAAAAATAAGCTAGCAAACAAAACAGCAACACACTCATAGATACAGAGAACAGACTAACAGCTGTCAGGTGCTGGGTGAAAAGGTGAAGGGATTAAGAAGAAAAGAAAAGCCCTGGCCGACTTGGCTCAGTGGATAGAGCGTCAGCCTGCAGACTGGGGGGTCCCGGGTTCGATTCCGGCCAGGGGCACATGCCTGGGTTGCGGGCTTGATCCCCAGTGGGGGGCGTGCGGGAGGCGGCCGATCGATGATTCTCTCTCATCATTGATGTTTCCATCTCTCTCTCCTTCTCCCTTCCTCTCTGAAATCAATAAAGAAATATATTTTTAAAAAAAAAAAAAGAAGAAGAAGAAAAGAAAAAAGAGACAACAGTATGATGATAACCAGAGGGAAGGAGAGTTGACTTTGGTTGGTGAACACACAGTACAGTATACAGCTGATGTATTAGAGAATTGTGCATTTAAAACATATTTAAATTTTATTAACCAATAAATTCAATAAAAAATTTTTAAAAAAACTAAAATAAAAACACCCAAACTTGTAGCCAGTGGAGGTGCAAAGTTAGAGAGTCAGTCCCTCCCAGAACCTGCTTCCCACAACAGGCCTGGGTCTGAGGCTGTCCATCTACTCTGTGCCTGCCTCAGTAGCTGCTGCTCTGGGTGCGAAAGACAGACACATGCGCCAGACCTTGGGTAGTGAAGAACCAATAGGGTTTTAGAGATCCTTTGCTGTCAGATGTTGGTTTTGCTCTTACTCATGGGGTTTCTGTGGCTTAAGTCCTTGTCAGTCCTGCCTCCAAACGCTTCCTCTTGGCTCATTTTGGTGAATAGTCACCCAGCAGGTGTCAGCCAGAGCACACTCTGTGTCTCAAGGCTCCTGTTAAGGCTGGGCAAGTAGTGGAGGGCAGATCACAACAGGCTTATATACCATGAGGAGGACTTTAGATTTTGTCTTGTAGGTAAACCACGGGAACTTGTGAGGGATTTTGAGCAAAAGAGGGACCTGACTGGATTGTGCATGTTAGAGAGATCTTTCAGACAGTAGATACATTAGCGAGGTGAGCCTGGAGACTGTGATGGTAGAAGGGGCCTGTTGCAGTGATCAGGGAGAGGTGATGAGGACTCAGCTAACACATGTGTGATCGAGGCAGTGGAAATACAGAAGAGGGGGTTAATATGAAAAGTAGTTGATAGATTCAGCAATACCTAATGAAAGCAGCATATGGTAATATTGTCATCATATAATCAGCATCTAGCAGGGTGTCTTGCTTGTAGCAGGTGCTCAGTAAATGCTTTTGAATGAATGAATATGGCCAACATGGTGGCCAAGAAGAGGGGACTACATATGGGACTTGGTTTCTGACTTGAGTGACTAGATAGATGATGGTTCCATTCACCTTGATAGGTAACATTGGACAAGGAACAATTCTGATGAATAATTGAATTCCCTGGGTTTGGAAACATGGAATCTGAGGTGTCTCTGAGCTGTTGAGGTAGACAGAGTGTTCCAAATCTAAGCATTAGATGCGCACTGATGCCATAGAATATTGTGATTAAGATGTTTTCAATTTTTGAAAAGGATAATTAGTTCCACCTTTTGTTTTATTCACCAAGGGCCAGTCTCAGTGTCCAAGAAAAGTGTGTCCCACGTGCTGAGCAAGGAGGGAGGTGGAAACATTTCAGTCATTGTCCTTGGGGGTGCAGAGGAATCCTTGGATGCCCATCCCGGGAAATTCACTCTGTTCATCCGCCGGCGGAAAGGATTTGTGAAAATTGCTTTGACCCACGGGTAAGTGGCTTTTCATTTCGGGTGACTGGGTCAGGGAAGGTAAGACATTATTAAATGAGCACGAGAAAGTAAGGTAATTTTTTTAGCCCTTAGACAGTCCTCCTCCTAATTGACCTTCCCACAATGGTAGCTCAAAGCCATGGCACCCACCAACTTAAATGTCTTTAAAAGTAAAGTCAACAAAAAACATACAAGATGTCCAGCCAAATGAACAAAGGAACCATGGCCAAAACAACAGATGAAAATCCTCCTGGAACCTTGATTTTCTATAGAATAATTTCCACAATCTCTAGACTCCTGAAGTGCCTTCCAACGAATTTCAACAATAAGTCAGTTTCAATGTATGGAACATGAAGTTAGTATAAGTTGATTCGGGGACATTAAATAATTGTTAGAAATCTGTTGCAAAGTCAGTTGGACATTATCACATCTTTACATCCTTTTCATTGAAATTTCTTATTCTTTCCTTTTTTGTTTGTTTTTTATTTGCAGCGCCTATTTGGTCCCTGTGTTTTCTTTTGGTGAAAATGAACTATTTAAACAAGTTAGCAACCCTGAAGGCTCATTGCTTCGAACTGTGCAGGATAAACTACAGAAGATCATGGGGTTTGCTTTGCCACTGTTCCATGCCAGAGGAGTTTTTCAGTACAGTTTTGGCCTAGTGCCCTATCGGAAACCTATTCACACTGTTGGTATGTACATTGAAGACTGACACTTGTTAAAACAAGTAAAAACATTATCTTACTTTGAGCATTGTTTATTATTATGGGTTGAGGTGCTAATCCAAGGGAAGTAGCTTTGAGTAAGAACTCCTTAAAATAACAATTCTATAGATGTTATTTGAGCTTCACATCCAGTATGCCTGTTATTTACAAAATGACTATATTTTGCATTTGAGTGGGAATTGATGACTTCCAAGATCACTGCTCTTGAACTACAGGTAGAATCCAATTTTAGAAATAAAATTTCTAGTCCTCTAGGATGAATCTATTTCTCTATAGCAGCAGAGTATAACAGCAATTCTTTGATGAAGTTATATCGAATCTATTAATATATACAAGTTTCCGTATAAAAGATGTTTTCATCATGTTAGTATACATAGGCATCAGTTTCTATAGCAAATGCATTCTCTTTATGCAACTTAGCTATATTTATGTATATCCTAATATAGACTGATTTTATTTTTTAAAGTTGCATGTTTAGCCCGACCAGCATGGCTCAGTGGTTGAGTGTCGCCCTATGAACCAGGAGGTCATGGTTCAATTCCTGGTCAGGGAACATGCCCAGTTGCAGGCTAGATCCCCAGTGTGGGGTGTGAAGGGGGCAGCCGATCAATGATTCTCTCTCATCATTGATGTTGCTATCGCTTTCTTTCTTTCTCCCCTTTCCTCTCTGAAGTTAAAAAAAATATTTTTTTTTTTCAAAGTTGCATGTTTAGGGAAATGGAGGTGGGGGAGGAGGATGACAGACCATGTTTTTGTAAAAAAAACTATATTTTAATTAATTTCAGAGAGGAAGGAAGAGGGAGAGAGAGAGAGAAACATCAGTGATGAGAGAGAATCATTGATTGGCTGCTTCCTGCACACTCCCCACTGGGGACTGAGCCTGCAACCTGGGCTTGTGCTCTTGGCCAGAATCAAACCTGGGACCCTTTAGTCCACATGCAGGTCAACGCTCTATCCCCTGAGCCAAACCGGCTAGGGCAACAGACCATGTTGATAAAGGAGGAGGAAAGTAATTAGCTCTTTAGGTTGAAAAGGAACTGGAGAGTTGGAAATGAGAAAGCTGAGTCAGGTGCTAATATCAGAATTAACCAATATTATATACTTCATAGGAAATTGAAGTAAGAGTCTCACCATGGATAGCCCATTAACTAAAATACAGATGTTTTCTTTTTAGGTCTATTTCATTAGAATAGGATTTTATTACTGTTAGCTTACAAGAGCTTAGCATTTCACATGCAGTCACACGACATTTTTAAATGCTATATTTAACTCAAATGGAATGTTAGAAGATGTTGATCCGTTAGTGTAATAGAAATACTGAGATAACTTTAAGTCTGCAATTGTGTTTTTCAGGATAAGGTGGTTACATTTTTTGGCATATGGTTAATTAGTCATTTTTATATTTTATGTGCAAAATACTGTAGTTGGTATTTTGCGGGGGGGTATAAGGAAAATGGCAAGACATGCTTTTAGGAACTGGAAGTTTAAGTGTGTAACACATGCACCATGAAAGAAGTTGTGTAACTGAAAGAAATTTTTTTTTTCAGTTATACTTGACATTCAATATTATATTAGTTTCAGGTATACAGAAACTAATGGTTAGACTTTTATATACCTTACAAAGTGATCACACACACACCCCCATAAATCTAGTATGTACCTGGCACCATACATAATTATTACAATATTATTGACTATATTTCCTATCTGTACTTTACATCCCCCTGGTTATTTTGTAACTGCTAATTTGTACTCCTTGATCCCCTTGCCTTTTCCATCCAGTTCCCCAAACCCTTTCCCCTCTGGCAACAATCAGTTTGTTCTCTGTATTTATGAGTTTGTTTCTGTTTTGATTATTTGTTTATTTTGTTTTTTAGATTCCACATATAAGTGAAATCAGATGGTATTTGTCTTTCTCTTTCTCTGTCTGACTTATTTCACTTAGCATAATACCCTCTAGAGCAGGCATGGGCAAACTACGGCCCACGGGCCTGATCTGGCCCATTTGAAATGAACAAAACTAAAAAAAAAAAAAAGAACCCTTTTATGTAATGATGTTTACTTTGAATTTATATTAGTTCACACAAACACTCCATCCATGCTTTTGTTCTGGCCCTCCGGTCCAGTTTAAGAACCCATTGTGGCCCTCAAGTCAAAAAGTTTGCCCACCCCTACTCTAGGGCCATCCATGTTGTTGCAAATGGTAAGATTTCCTTCTTTCTTTTGGACAAGTAATGTTCCATTGTAAATATGTACCATATCTTTTTTATCCAGTCATTTATAAATGGACACTTAGATTGCTTCTTTGCTATTATATATGAAATGTCCTTCTTTGTCTCTTGTTATAGCCTTTGCCTTAAAGTCTATTTTGTTTTATATAAGTACTAGAGGCCCGGTGCACGAAATCCGTGCACTGGATGAAGGGGGTCTCTCAGCCTGGCCTGTGCCCTCTTGCAATCCAGGACCCCTCAGGGGCCTAAACCAGCAGTCGGACCTCACCTGATGCCCCACGCAGCCTGCTTGTTCAGTCATTTGGTTGTCCCTCACTAACACCCCTGCCTGCCTAGTTGCCCCACGCAGCCTGCTTGTTCAGTTGTTTGGTCGTCCCTCACTAACCCCCCTGCCGGCCTGGTCGTAGGCAGCCATCTTGTGAGGGAGTGAGGGTCAATTTGCATATTACCTCTTTATTATATAGGATTGCTACCCCAGCTTTTTTTTCTCATTTCCATCCGTTTACTTTCAGTCTATGTGTATCTTTCAATTTGAAGTAGATCTTTTGTAGGCAGTGTATGTATGGGTCTTGCTTTCTTTTCCATTCAGCCACCCTTTGTCTTTTGATTAGAGCTTATAATCCATTTACATTTAAAGTGGTTATTGATAGATATGCAGTTATGGCTATTCTGTTGTTTATATATTTTTCCTTTTTCACTTCTTTTTCTATATTAATTAGTTGTGATTTACCATGAAGTCCCAGCGTTAGGTTATTTGCATTATGGACGCCCTTACAGGCCTCCCATCAGCGTTTGTGTGCAGCCCAGAAAGGGATCCAGGACCGTCTTTGCTAGATTTCCGCGGACTTCCTGCTAACTCCCAGCCTGTCTTCTGTGTGCGTGTCCTAGAAACGCTGTTTCATTTGATCCTTACGGCAGCATTGAAAACAACCGTGCCATTAAGCCATCGGCCCTTTTTATCTGCAGGCGCGCCATGATGGCTGTGGCTGACGCTCAGCACCGGCCACACACACAATCAGTACCGACGTCGCGACGCTGGTTATTATGCATCAGCCAGATGTGCGAGGAGGTGGTGTGGGCTTGAGGTCTGACTCGGAGAGACTCAGAATGTTTCATTTATCTTCTCCGAGCCTCAGAGTTTACACCTCCAAAGAGGAGGCGATTAGAATGGTCTGTCTGCTCTAACGGTTCCTGGGGAGTAGGTGACGTAGTCTGTGGGGAGGCACCTGTACCCTCAGGTGCTAGGGGAGTGTGGGTTGATGCAGAGCAGAAACTTCCTGACTAGATTGTTGGGAGCTAGCAAATGTGTTTCAATTTTCCTGGTAATGTTCATCGGAATCAAATAATGAGGATATGATGAGACAAATCCGGATTGTGGGGCACTGTACAAAACAGCTGGTCTGGACTCTTAAAAAGTATCAGTGTTGTGGAAGACAGAAAAGAGAGTGTGAGTACACAGAGAGACACACTGGCTGTTGTGGATTGGGGGGAAAAGGATAAAGGGTGTTATTGAGACAGTTGGTCAAGTTCGAATGTGGATTAAGTACAAAATAATATTGTGCAGAGGTTTAATTCCTTGGGTGTGATAATGGTGTTGTTATGTGGGACAGTGTTTTTGTTCTTACATGCTGAAATAAACAGGGTTGATTAACATGATTGAATACTTATTGTCTACAACTTTCAAATGGTCCTACAAAAATAAAAATAATAATCATATATATACATATATCAGATTCATATATGGGTGTTTGCAAAAAGTTCAAAATTGGTGAGCCTAGAGGAAGAGTGTGCAAGTGATTTTGCATTTTTTTCTAGGATTGAAATATTTTAAAATAAAAACAGGTGGGGGAAAAAGATAGGGAAGGGATGTACTTTAAATAAAACAGGTTTGAAACAACATGAGGACAGCAGTAGTCTATTATGTTTCAAGCCATTTTTATATTCTGATGGGGGGAAAGCGCACGAAGGGATTCTCTGAACTAGAAGGAAAGGAAGGGGAACCTTTAATTGAAATATTAATTGTAGAGATTAAAAGAGATCATGTTAAGGGACCAGTATTGTGCCTAGTATGATGTATAAAGTGCTCAATAAATGTTCATGAGTGTGTGGTGTGTGTATGTGTACATGGGTACACACACACTTATATTGAGCATCTCTGGAGCCTCTCCATAAGCCAGAGGTTGGACATGAACCCAGGTTTCATCTGGCACCCACGTTTGGACTCTTCACAACCCTGTTCTGCCACGCAGCTCCCACCAGTCCTTTCTCTAGTGTGCAGCTACGTAGCTTCTAGAGAGAGGGATTCCTGTGGGAGACCCTTAGGGAGAGAAACTCTATGGAGTTTTCATAATCACAGAAAAGCAGAACAGAGATTTCTTTTTATTTTTTATTTTAATAGACATTTTTATTGATTTCAGAGAGGCAGAGAGAGGAAGAGAAAGAGAGAAACATCAATGATGAGAAAGAATCATTGATCGGCTGCCTCCTGCACACCCCACATTGGGCATGTGCCCTTGGCCGGAATTGAACCTGGGTCCCTTCAGTCCGCAGGCCAACGCTCTATCCACTGAGCCAAACCGACTAGGGCAGAACAGAGATTTCTTATTGTGAAAAATCTCTTTGCCTCAACGAGAAGAAAATAATGCCCACTTCCTAATTTTTCTCCAGCCGTATATACCAGTGATAGCAAACGTATGACACGCGTGTCAGAGGTGACACACGAACTCATTTCTTTGGTTGATTTTTCTTTGTTAAATGGCATTTAAATATATAAAATAAATATCAAAAATATAAGTCTTTGTTTTACTATGGTTGCAAAGATAAAAAAAATTTCTATATGTGACACGGCACCAGAGTTAAGTTAGGGTTTTTCAAAATGCTGACACGCCGAGCTCAAAAGGTTCGCCATCACTGGTATATACAGTGGCTCATGAAGCTGCTCGTTCTTCATCTTTATAAATACAACACAGCACCACAGACGTTAGAGCGGGGCTGCTGTGGCACCAACAGATGCATAGCTGACCTCGAATTGTTGGGTGGACTTGGAACACGGAACAGGCCAGCATGCCAGCTATAAAAAGCACCGAAACATAAACAAGCGCTCTGATTCCTGACTCTGCCACAAGTAGATGTCGGGTGATTTTGTTCCAGGGCAACGAGTTCTCTTTCCAAGAGCAGTCTGATGCAGCTGTTTTTTCCATTGTGTCAAAAAAAGAGAATTATGTAGCAGTTAGCCACTCACTTAGCTTTATGTTGAAAACATCTTTTTCTTCTCCTTAGTGGTAAACCTCTCCTTTTTTTGAGGAGAGAGAGAATTCTGATCAGGAGACCCTTCTCAGATTTGCATATTTTTGTTTGTTGTCTCTGTTTTTATCCCTAAAAAATAATTGAGAAAGATTTCTTATTCTGATCCAATTTTGGGTCAGTTTTGTAATGAGGGGCAGGAATACTGGCTTTAAGTTATTTCCTTTCTGTGTGTAGTTGAGGAACTTTCAGCAGCTGTTTCTCTACATATAAAAAGGAGGAGGCGAGTATGACTATGTCTGTCTCACGCTTTAAAGGGAAAGGTCTTATGATGACAAATTTAATACAGTGGTCATGTTTGGGCTTGCTGGAACAACTCTCTGAAATATACTAAAACCACTAATAAGAAAAGGACAGAATTGAAGTTAACTGTGAGATAGCGCACAGAAAATCTAAAGACTCAACTTCAGAATCCACAAGTCCTAATTACAGCAAGCTGGGAACAATACACCTCATCTCCTTAGGCGGCTGTGTCTCTTTTTGTGTCCCCCCCACTCCCATCCTGAATAGTTAGTTGCACTTGACCTCTGTCCGTGGGATCATTTCACTAAGAAAACAGAAGCTTTTTCTATAAAATCAGGAATTCGCTAGGAGGTTGACATGTAGGTTTCTCCCTGGCCCC